AAAAGATGAGCAGATCGAATCTGTGCTAAATTAACTATAGTTATTTCGTTTATGTATAGATAAAACCATTATTTTTTCTTCCTATTTTACAATTCAACGTTTACTACATCGATCCATCTGACTTTTGATCCTGCTGTCCTTCCATATTAACGCAAAAACTTCTTTCAACACATAATTTTTATACTCATTCACGAAAGTGAATTAGTATATTGGTTTTGTGCAGTGTCCGTTTGGCTGTCCGTCCGTTCGTCTGTCCGTGTGTCCGTATGAACGCAGTTTATCTCCGTTTTATAAAGTGTTAAAATTTTCCTGATCCGCCCACTAGGGGCGTGGAAACTCGGAAAATGCATTTTTCGATATACCAGAAATCATATTAATTGAAGAGCTAAAAAGTTGAAATTTGGAATGTAAGTCCGCGTCGACCACCTAAGATCACGAGCTATGGCATATATATCTACGCCCATTGGGGGCGTGGTAAATCGGACCTGAAGATGTAGAAATTTTGTTAATTCTGCTATATTTTGGACACTATTGATGCTTGAGACCGCAAATTTAGTATATACACTCGGGCTGACCACCCAAGATCAAAAAGCTTCGACTGATATAAGTCTGCCCATCGGGGGCGTGGTAAACCGCAAAAGTTTATATCTCCTATAGTATAATAGGTAGAATTGGATAAAAATCATTTTTACGCCTCTTTAGGGGCGCGGCATATCAAAAAATACCCTGTAATTTTCACATTTTTTGAGCGTAAGCATTCAAATATTGCAGTTAGGGTACTATTAGCTCGTTCTAAGAACTGACAAAAAATGAGGTGTCTACACCCAGTAAGGGCATGATAAATCAGAAGAGCTGCATTTTATACAGTATTGGAGCTAAATTTAGCTGCTAAATTGCTGATGGGATGTGCATGAGTATTCCGCAGTCGGAAACGCCCGACTACAACGTTCTTACCTTTTTATAATAGAGAAAGTCAATATTGAACACGAAATTTGAACCCGTTACTCATCTAAAGAATCAATTATGTTTAATCGTAACTTGATAGCTCAAACGGCGTTCAAAAGCAATCATCAAATGAAAAAACAAACAAGTAAGAAAGCTCTAGTCGAGACTACTCGACTACGAGATCCCCTGAACCCTTGGAGCAATAGCTATTTCAATAATTTTTCGCGTCTTACAGCTTACACAAGAAACACGCACACACACACACACGCGCACGCACGCACGCACACACAGGCATACATACACATACACACACATACATACACACATACACACACACATACACAAACAATTACATACATATACACACACACAAGCATAAACACGCATGGGCGGCAGTGAGCGCTTACTATGAGAACTTAATTGCTTAATAACTTTTTTGTGGACGTATGATCATCATGAAACTTTCAGATTATGATTATGACATGGATATGCATGTAATTGCCAAAGCACAAGTCTCTAGTATTTGAAATACGCTTTTTACAAAAGTGTGGGTGAGGGGGTGAATTTAAGGGTGGGGGGTAAATTTTAACAAAAACCGAAATTGTATAAATTGCATATAGGCATACATTAAAATTTTGGAGACTCTAGCAATAAAGGTGTAGAAGATATAATTTTATAACTGGTTTTCGATAAGGTTTTTTATCGATAAAAAAGATCGGGATGAGTTATCGATTTTTAATGATAAACTTGATATGCGCGCTGTAATTACGAACATTTTAAAAAAAAATTTGAAGTCTCTAGCTCTTATATCTTCTGAAATCGACGCGTTCATACATACGGACAGACGGACAGACGGACAGACGGACAGACGGACGGACGGACAGACGGACAGACGGACAGACAGACGGACAGGGCCAAATCAACTCAGCTCGTCGCCCTGATCAAGAATATATATACTTTATGGGGTCTGCCACGCCTCCTTCTGCCTGTTACATACATTTCAACAAAACCATTATACCCTGATTTCCCATTGAAAATGGGTTCAGGGTATAAAAACAAAACTATTTGGATCTAATTTATGTCTGTTGTTTGCATCCAAATAAAACATTTGACAAAGTTGAATATACTTATCTTTATTTATAATTGATTAACATAAGAACGCTTTGAACTTCACATATTTATTTGTTTATACTTATTAATAGTATATGTGTATGTTTATTGTCCTGTATTTCATTTCTGAGTATTTCACTTATTTATTGATAAATATGTGTTGTATTTATATGTGTACTTACATATGTAGTTGTAATATTCTTTATTTAAATTAACGGGAACTTATATTTATTGTCTTATAGTAAATTTGTATTATATAACAATTATCCATTTCAATATACTGCTTTATTATTATTTTGTGCTTTGAATATATTTCTTAGTTGGCCACAATCCGATATTACTGTAAAATGATGAAAATAATTTTTTAATTTGATATTTTAATTTTGATAACATATTTCTTTAATATTCTGATGTATGTTCCCTGATTATTATTATATTTGTTTATTTCTTTTCTTATATAAATACACTAAAATAATTAAAATTAAACTAAAATAATTTTTGTTTTTATTATCTTTAAATAAATATAAGGAGTAAGAAACCTGCATTTTTAGTTGAATTTTTGATTACAATCAGAAAAAGTATCTTGAAAAAAATATTGAATATTAGAGAATATAAGACGGCAACTTGTAAACAGTGCCAGGAAAATTAGGAGGTTCAGTGATGGGAATGAGATCAATAGGATTAAAAAACAAGTAAGAAGGCTCTAGTCAAGACTGCTCGACTAGGAGATACCCTGAACCCTCCAAGCTGATATTCTAATCATTCTGCACTTCTTCTATGCACACATACATACACATGCATCCAGACGCACGTATAACAACGCGCTCTGCTGACGGCGCAGCAAGCAGCGAGTGCGCTTGGGCTGCGCTGCAATGTGGGCAATATTATACGAATTTATTTGTTGAATAATTTAATTTCTAGACGTACAATCTTAATGAAAAATAAAATCTGTAAATTACAAAATGTTTGTATTCATCATATGTACACAGTAAATCTGAAGTCTCCAGGTCTAATGTATTCCAATGAGACTGAAAAAACAAAATCAATTTTTCGATTATTCTCGATAAAAAAGTTATCGGTTAATTTATCGAAAAAATAGCAAACTCGTACTGCGTATAGTATACACAAGTATGCATGACAAATTTCAGATTTCTAGCCCTTATAACTTCTGAGATCGACACACTCATACGGACGGACGGACAGACGGACAGGGCTATATCGACTCAGCTCATCGCGCTGATCAAGAATATATATATTTTGTGGGGTCTGCCACGCCTCCTTCTGCCCGTTACATACTTTTTCACAAAACCATTATACCCTGATTTCCCATTTTCAATGGGTTCAGGGTATGAAAAAACAAGTAGGAAAGCTTTAGTCGAGACTGCTCGACTACGAGATCCCCTGAACCATTCGAGCAACTGTTAGTTCAATAATTCTTTGCGTCTTTTTGCTTAGACAAGAAATACACTCACAAGAAATGCAAGCACACACATGTATGTATGTATGTTCATATGTACATAAGTGGAAAAGTACACATATATGAATGCATATATTCGGATATGTACATGTGTGTGTATGTATGTTAATTTCTACATTTCCACGCATGTACATTCATATGTCAGCATATCCAAATGAATAATTTCTGTCAAGCCAAAATATTTAAGTTCATGTATTCACATTTTTAAATGTATGCATATGCTCATACATGCACGTCGGCTCATACATACATACATGTGTCTATTATTGCTTATTTTGCAAACATATAAATTTGATTAAAATTCGAAAGTTTATACACATGTATAACTGATAGCTCAATAATTCTTTGCGTCTTTCTGCTTACACAGGAAATACACTCACACACACACTCACAGACACATACAGTCACGCACGCATAAACATGCATTGACTGTAGTGTAGGCTTCCTATGGGAACTTAATTGTTTGATCATTTTTTATGTGGATGCACTTCCTTCATGAACTTTTAGATTGTGATTGTATCATTAAAATGCGTGCATTTGCTATAGCTCAAGTCTACAGTACTTTAAATACTCTTTTTATAAATTTAGCGGTGAGGGGGTGGATATAGCCTGGGGGGCCTGGGAGGAATTGAATTGAATTATAACAAAAGCCGAAAATCTATAAAGTACACATCAATTTGCATATAAAATTTGGCGACTCTAGTCTAAAGATATTGGAGATATTAAGTAGTTTATTTTCGACAATGTTTTGAATCGATAAACAAATAACGGGAAGAGCTATCGATTTTTGGAGATAACTTCGACATCCTCGCTATATATACGGACCCTTGAAAAAAAATCAAGACTCTAGCTCTTATATCTTCTGATATCGACGCGTTCAAACATACGGACAGACGGACGAACGGACGGACAGACACACGGACAGGTCTAAAACGACTCAGCTCATCACCCTGATCAAACATATTTATACCATTTGGGGTCTACCACGCCTCCTTCACCCTGTTACATACATTTAACAAAACCACTATACCCTGATTTCCCACTTTCAATGGGTTCAGGGTATAAAAACAAGAAAGAAAAATTATAATAATAAGTATTCTTTAAAGTATTTTTCCTAATTGGTCAACCTTTAAGTTTGTCAAATAAATTTGTCTTTTAAATAGGACAGACCGGTATGGAACATAAATAAGGCCTTGGCTTTGCATTCAGGCTCTTGTCCGACACTATCTTTGGTTTCTTTATTATGCCTGTCCAGTTAATCACATATTTATCTAAGTGAACAGCGTATTATTTAGGGCTAGGTAAAACAACTTACTAAAACATGGTAGCGTGATTTATGTATTGCAGATGTGTTTTGTATTTGTGGCATGCATGCAATTGTCCGCCAAATAAACTAAATTGCTCAACTATAAATTTATTACAACTGCAATGAAGTCGGCTTCTACGTAGACAATTATAATACTTTTTAAAAGCGCTGCTTGTGGTGTAGTTTTACTTGAAATAACATTCATAACTGAATTTTCGCATTCAATTTTGTATTACTTTAATTTAGTTTGACAGCGAAATAATATAGATTAGGACAAACACGAAGAATTCAAGTTGCATTATTAGATATACATATATCATTTATATACATATTTGTATATTAGTATATGACCGAGATGTGATAATTGTTGTTGCAAGAAATTATTAATTATTAATTTAATGGATGAAAATGAATGCTTTTGAGTACAGAACTGGACAAAGACGAAATGGAAACAAAGAAAGAGCTACTAACTGTTAAATAATTATTGCAACTGTTAAATTGTTATTGTTGTTATTTTGCTATAAATTATTGTTGTTATAATTTGACAGAAAGGCCAAAGATCTATTCATATACTGTCATCGAGTCTAAGAGTTGGCTATCTGTATTCTGAAATAAAAGTGAGACTCGCTACACCAAATTAGTTTCATGCAAGGAAAATGCTAACGAATATCCAATTGTGCTAACGAATATCCATACACACAAAAATTATGTGTATATAAAAAGTATGACTTGATGTCCAACCAAGCAATTCAAGATTTTTAGGTTTCAGCGACCATAGTTCAGATTTAGTATTTAGTAGTGTGAAAGCTGAATGTGATACAATTACTCAGAAGCAGCGATAGATGAAGAAGAAGATGAAGATGGAGCGAGCCCAGTATCTGTGGTCGACCACATGCACTTTGGAGTATGCAACGGCACGTAGCAGGATGCGAGTAAATTATGCATGCAGCTTCAAGTGCAATAAAACAGAATTTAATGGGAATTTAATGTTGAAAACATTATCAGGCTCTGCACTGGCCAAAGTGTGTGGATTCGACAAACAAACGGGCTCATTCCAACAAATAAATGCGCTCTCGTTAGGGGTTGTGGGTAGCGCATATGAGTGTGAAGTTTGCCGACTGTGCGACAATTGTCGAATCAGCCCATTTTTTATACTCGCTCAGGAAATGAAAGAGTGTATTGGCTTTCTACAATATCCATTTACCATGTCCATTTATTCCGGAAAACAGACAATCAACAGACGCAGAAAAACAATAGTTTTTTTTTTTTTTTTTTAAATTATAAAATATTTCCAAATGAGTGATTATTATTAATGGCCCACAAATGTTAGGTAAAATATAGCATAAGAAAAGTTTAGCTAGTGGACCATAGGGCCCTTCTCTCTCCCTTATAATTTCCGCGATCCGCTTATAGAAAAGTGTTAAAGAAATATGCAAAACTTTGACTGTAACGGGATCGTACAACATATTATGCGGTGGTTGCGTCCAACTTGTTTTATTTCTATGAGCTGACGACGCGCGAGCATTAGCTTTGTCTAACTTTAGCTGTTCTCTACGATTCTGCAGCTAAATTAGGGGAAGAGTCTGCCGAAAGCCGGCGAACCTCGAGCAATGCATGAATTTCGTTAATGCGTAAATGCATGTGTGTAAGTGAGTGAGTGTGTCGGTGTGCGGGTGCGTGAGTGGTTGTGAGCGTGCTTCTGTTTGTTGGTGATGCAAGTTGGCTACTATTGCGAAAACCCTTCCTCTTGGCCAAAGTGGTAGCATCGAGCGCACTTGAAGGTTTTGGCTCTTATCGCCCGTTGTCCACGCAGACTCGATAAACAAGCCCGACCGACCCGAATATAGCGAGACGTGTAGAGGAGGCTTGGCGGTTGCCGTCATTTGCACAAATGCGCATCATCATTTAGATTGTTCAGCTGTAGTCGAAATGCAACAATAGCATGAACCACATTGCTCGGACACTAAACTGAACGCCCTCTTTTTCTGCCACGCATACAGCACCACCGGACACAAACCATGTCCGCAGACTAACAAACCCATCCACCCACCATGGCTGCAGCAATTGGAAGCTGTCGCGTTTCGTCTCCCCCAAAATGGGAGTTGAGCTGCAGTCCGGGATTGCAATGCAACAGCAGCCACTTTGGCATTTTCAATAGCATGCATTTATGCAAATTCAATGCCAACTGCATCCCCGACTATACTGCCAGCTAGCAAGTATAGCTCCAAGTGTACTGCACGCATACACAAACTCGTATGTATACAAATTTCTGCATACATAAACATATACATATGTATGTTTGTGTAATTAAATATTTAACCAACGCATACACCACCGATTGCATTGACCAGGATGACAATAATATTTCAAATTATATTCCTATTCACATGTACATAATATCGCATATGATATATATGTATAGCAGTGGAATATAATTTTATATTTAATTATTTACATTTTTGAACAAGACTCAATAGTGTTGTGTGTTCTTCATAATAAAGGGTAAGCAAGTTTATGTTTCATGGCAATTCTTTTCTTACAATTTGTCTGTTTGTTCCGCAAAGAATTTTATGCTTGCAATTTTGAGTGTCAGCATAGAATATAGAATATACAATTTCTATATTCTGTATATTAAAGAAATCGTCAAAAAATGCAATTAAGAATCACAAATTAAAAACGAAGAGTCTGTTTCAATAAATTAAAGCATAGGTTATGAAAATAGTATTACTTATTCCACTTTCCAATTACGATGTTCTTCCATGCATATAAATTAGTAATGCATATAATTTAATAATATAAATGCATATTTTTCGTTTCTTTTTGCATTTTTTAACAAATGCTCGAGATATGTTTAGTAAATGTAGGCCTTAAATAAACTTGTATTGTCTTCAGGGCAAATAATTGAAGAAAATCAAATTAGCTTGGCGCTGTTTCATTATTAGAGATAGCATTGTTTGGGACTTCTGCCTTATAGGGTATGAAAATATGGCTTGTAAATCATTTGATTTTTATGACCGAAGGTTTCCCAATAACATATCTATATCTGAGATATATCTTCATTAAAGTTAATTATACTCTATATATACAATTTCGGTACAATGTTTAAGAATAACTTATTACATATGTATGTGGAATTTAATAAATTATTGTTGATTTTCCTTTTGTAAGCGTCAATCTTAATTCATATTTTACTTTCTTTTTTCTCGGAAGACATTTCTGTATTGCATTATTAATTATATAACTTCTGATATTTTTAATTATCTAATGTGAGCAAATAAGCTCAGTATAATGACTTACATATAAAATTTTTCGTTAACATTGATTTTCGTATTGTATAAAATTATTGTATTGTTTATTTTAAGCAGGGGTTTTCTTTGATTCATTGTTATTGATTTCAATTGGACTTTGAACTATATTTATATATATATAAATACATATGAGTATATCTGACCAATTTCAGTTTTAAGTCACCTGGCTTCGGTTTTACCATTCATTCAAATAATGAAAATGTTAAACTAGTATGATTATTTATGTAGTATAGAAATTAATGCAGATACAAAACTTAAATATAAGAATATTACTTTTTAGTTTACACACTGAAAGGAGATTTATATTTAATTTTTTTTAAAGTTTAACTCACAAAACTTAGTATAAAATCTTTCACACATATTAAAACCCTTCAATTACAGATGGGATTGAATTTTACATATTGTACCTATCCAGACATTGTACTTGGGTTCCACTTTAGAAAATAGCTCTATCCTCTATCCTTTAAAGATTAATTGAAATAAAATTAATCTCCAATGAAGTATGAAATATTTGAAAAGCGACAGAATAGTGAATTTCCCATGTTATGTGAAAACGGACCTTATTTTGGTGGGACGGGATAAAAATAAGTTAGTTTTATGGCTTTATTGGATTTGATTGGAATATTCACGTCATTATTCATTTTTATATATATAATAATAGATATGTAGCTCTTCGTCTATTATATTCGCTACAAAAACTGGATTCGATTTATCTACAAATAATTTTTTGGAATAGACTTGCAGAATTTTTGCTATGTTGATAGAATTTAACAGAAATGTTATATAAATGTTATAAACGTTATACAAATTATTAATCAACCTGTATATATATATATATATATATATATATATACATATATATTGTAAAGCAACATACCAACAGCATAAACCTCATTCGGAATCTGTTATATTCATATCCACATATTAATAATGAGAATGGTTTGGTTCATGCAATTATTAAGTTCAGACAGATGGCCATACATCAGGACGGAAATTTTCTAAAACTAATAAACTCATTCAGTGTGTAAATTATAAAAAATAGGTAAAGAGGACTTTGATTTCTTTTCCTTTTTTGAAAAATCTGAAACCATAAGATTCAGAAATGGCTTTAAGTCAGCTAGAATTGAATAGCGAATTCATTTGAGAATTGCTTGAAATAATCAAACAAGCATCCTGATATCATTTTGAGTTAATTCAAGTAAATTGGTTGATTAGCACCAATCAAAAAATATATGTTTTCAGCCCAAAAAAAAAATTAAATAAATAAAATTACAAATTCAAAGACAAAAAGGTGACTAGCGAAAAAAGATTTTCATTACATATATTTCTCTATATATTATTTTATTATTTGGGATCAGATGCGAGCTTAAGCAAACCATTGATTATGCATAACAATAATGATAACGCGTTTTTTTTATTATTATGAATATTTTGAAAAACTATTTTGATTGAATATACTTTGTTATGTCATTAGTTGTTTTGATAGCATTATGAAAAGCTTTCATAAATATATAGATAGGTTAAAAAAGTGCTAGTGCAAATAAAGCTTCCCCTTGACGGCCAGACGATTGATAACCTCTAATGGGCCTTGGCCAGACCGACTTATTTTTCTCTCTTCATAGCTAATATAGTGCACTGTTAACTGATACCTTCTGCTTCTGCTACTATCGCCTACTGCTGGTGGTCTCCTTGCCATCCTTGCTGGTTGCAGGCTGGTGTTGGATTTAGTTGGAATCATAATTTTAAATGAGCTTAACTAAATACATAGACAATATGCAGAAAAAAGCCATCTGGGCATTAGTCGTTGTCGTAGCTATGCCAAGCAGCTGTGACCCCGCACTTGGGTAAGTCCAGGGCGGACGATGCGATGGTACCGCACCCGGCGACTTATTTGTTTTTTCGTATCCATTGCGCGTTGGAACTTGCGTATGTACTACAAATTATTTTTAAATAAAACAAAAAGTTTTTTAAAATGTTTCAGAAATATAAAGATATAGAATATGAAATAGAACAAAATGTTTATTTTCGCCCAAACATTTTGGGTTCTTCTATTATTAACCATTTTTACAAAATTTACAGACACTTGTCGGTCAAGTTTTCCATTTAGATTTCAATGGTTCTCATCAGAAAAAGTGTACTTTGCAGGGTTCTTCTCTATATGCTACATAAGTGTAAATATGTACTGATATTATTGAAATAAATTTTAGCTCTTACACCATTAAGGTTATTCTATCTAAATAATGTATAATAGTTTTTGCCTAGATATATATTTACTGGCTAGTTTCAGTTGACATTAGCCAATTCCGGTTGAAAGTAGTTGGGTGGAAGGGAGGTTGGACTAGAACGAAAACGCACACTTGAAATTGAAACTGACTGCCGGAAAATTAACTTCAAAAGAGATTTGGAAAATACTGAGTCGTACCAAAATACGGTTTCACTGATAAATCAGTGCACTCGACAGCTGCACGAGTGCTAAGTCTTGGTGACTACTACTGCTGCTACTGCTAGAGAAATGTGTGGCAGGGTAAGCCCGTAGTGGCTTGAAAGGGGGTCACGTACTCTTGAATGGGCCGATGGGAGTGTGCTACTGCTACTTCTACTGCTACTGCTGCTAGTGCTAGTGGATTGGAGAATGAGTATGTTGCGGTTGGTGTCCGTTGTACTTTTGGTTCCTAGTAGAGAAGGAGCAAAGATCGAAGAAGTAAAGGCAAGCCACCAAGAGTTTCTTAAAAGGGCAGCCCTGGTGCAGCGACTTTATATTTGTCGAAGTCATGGTCCCTTGGTGAAGAGAAGTGCCCTATGGATGGTGGAGTCGCATGTGTATGCAGACTGAGAGTATCCCCTGGTCCGGTAGATGTGGATGTGAGTGTTTGTAACTACCGCTTATGCCTGACTTCATTCTATGCTTGTGCTGCAGCATGTATTTGTGGAATTTTCTAAATCGTAACTTACCTTCCGCTCCGTTTATCATGCCGTTGACGTTTCCACTTGCCACAATACCACCGGCACCGGCACCACCACCGCCGTTGGGACTCTGGGGCACACCAATCCCGCTGCCGAATACATCGTTCTCTTGCTGCATTTGATTTGAGAAATGGGTTTCCTTGGCACGCACCACTTCGTTCAGTCCCTTGTTGTGGCTGGGCTGCTGCTTCCGACGCGGCTTCGTGGTAGTGTGCACGTGTGGTGTTGGCGTCGTTGTCGACTTGGGCGGTAATCGTAATTCTGCAAGAAATTGCACCAATTATGAAATGCCGAATGCTTCTTTGCATGGTTCGAGGGGCAAAACAAACTCAATCGGATGGCAGATAGACTTTAAAAAACAGTGAGGCAACAACAATTACAAATACAAAGCCAATGGCAAAGGTTTAACAACGTGGAACGTTGTAGTAGCCCTTAAATATAATAATTTTCCATATGTTACTTTTCTTCAGGGGACATCAGACACATTATGTATACTATACATTATGTATACTATACATAAATTCTCTACTATACATAAATACTATACATAAATGATCTACGTCTACATTTATATAAGTATACATAACTGTTCATATCATATCATATTATTGCTTTTTCCGTCCTTCCTATTTTCCAGCAAATTATTAAATTAGCGTGTACGTTTAGATCTGCTCTGCGTTAATAACTGAGGTTTCTACAGGATATAATTGAAATCCTGTAGAAACCTCAGTTATTTTTATGAATATGGTCAACAAATTCTATTGAATATGTGAAAAATGTTCTCACCTATTGGATATTTCTGCAGCTAATTCACCTTAAACCTTATTATATTATATGAAAAAAAAAAACAACAAAAAATTGATAATTTACTCTCTAGTTGTATGATATATAGTTTGACAACTATATTTTTTCATAATTTTGCCCATTTACTTTTAATAAGGTAAAATTGTTTAAGTTAATGCATTATTAATTTATTAATTATAAAAATTAGCTATATTGACATGGAACGTATAATCAATATACACGTGCAAATACATATTCAGCTAATTTGTTTAAGAATTTTTATTTTCTGTATGATGTTCTTGCGTTTATATCAGTACTCCTTTAAGTGTAAATTAAAATGTCGCCTATGAGCTGGATCCAACCATGGTGGCAATGCGCACAGAGAAAGTTTTTCGCTGATTGTGCAATAATTCATGCTTAGTTTTAGTGCTCTAGCTCTATTTTGCGTTGGCATTGGAGTCAGTGACTGAGACTGGGACAGCGTGTGAGACTGAAACTGAAACTGAGGCTGATGCTGAGCATGAGGATGTGCACCCACTGCGTAGATGAAAGATAGAGAAATGCTTCAGTCGCCTTTAAATGAGATCGATAAAAATAATAGACCGAAGAAAATCCTAGGTGATTTATTGCCAGGAAACTGAACGAATTACACATGCGATGTGGGCACACTCACACACACACGCACACATTCATTCTTTACTGAATTGATGGTTTCGAATTGAAAGAACTACTTGGCTTAGCTTGCGCCTGGTTGATTGGTAAAAAATCATATGGGCAGCATTGAACTTGAAATAAGTTTCATTTTATCTTACCTTGCAGCCGAATTCGCGCCTCACTCTTCCCTAGAGCATTTACACTAGAGCAGGTATAAGCTCCAAAGTCAGATTTCGTCAGGTGTCGTATTGTCAAATTAAGGTGCCACATGTACAGATTAATCATCGCTTCCGAGATGTTGTACTTGTTGCTATTATGCAACTTAACATTTCCTGAAAGTGTTAATAAGTTTAGTTATATAATGAAAATACAAAAATAGATCAATTTTAGCCCGGTGAAAAATATACTACAAATCACTGATTAGTTACAATAAATCTGTTACATATCATTTTAAATGCATTTTCCCTAATAATTAAAAAATTGTGTAGCCAATCAAATTTCTAGCGTTGTCGGTTAAGTAAATATTTAAAATATTAAATATTAATAATGTATATTTAAAGTCAACTACCTGATTGATGTTACAAGAAATAATAATATGTAATAAAATTAAAACAAAAAATTTACCTTCGTTGCGGTACCAGCCGTTTAGTGGTTTTGGATAAACTTCCACAATGCATTCTAATGTTACCTCCCGTTCAACCGGCGCACCTACTAATTGGTTGACGGCCTTTATAGTTGGCGGAACTGAAAAACACAAATTAGAAACCAAGAGTATTTATAATTGTAACTGCTAGAATTTAAATTGCAATGTAAATCAGTAGTTTTAATAAGAACATCCTTTATATTGTTAATGAAAATGTGTTCAATTTAGACGAATATCCCGCTGATAATCATTATTTAACCACACAAATACCAATCTTGGTTTTGTCCGTACTATGACCTCACACCCAATGGAGTTACAAATACTGGTTCAGAATACAGAATTTGGAGATCTTTTTCCAAATCAATGGGTAGCCGTCATCATTTCCCATTTAGTTAGTTTAGTATTAATGTAATGTAATGTATTATTTAACCATAGGAAAAATTAAGTGTTTCGCTTTTCTCGAGTTCATGACGGATGCACGGGCAAATAACACGGCGAACATTACTCAAAACATTTATACTCTGTGCACTTAAATACTAATAAAAATTTTTATCGTATTGTCGAATATTGAATACCCTGGACTTATTTTTCTTTGTATAATGATCTGGCCTTGCTAAGAAAATTATTGAAGTTTGAATTTTAAAACTCCCTATAATAATATAACTTGGTCAGAAGTAATTCCATTATACATACTCATCTCAATGTATATTTTAGTAGAGAACAATGGATAGAAGAATGAAATTATAGTAATGTACAATATTTTGAGATATTCAAATAAATAATAAAATGTTGGATGTTATTCATATGTATATGACCAGACTGTAATTCTTTATAAATAAAAGTTAGATTCAATTTAAGACGTAAATATACGACGTAAAAATAAATCTAAGTGACTTTGTATTACGAGTTGATTAGTCGAGTACACCCGACTAGATTCCTGTTGTTTTAATAGCCGCAATGGTGGCTGCACTTGCTTCTTACGAATGACGATGCTGCATTCATCTGAAAGGCAAACTTTTTGTACTTTACATAGATACTGAGAAACTACGCATAGCAATAACTTGGAAGTTCATCTGCTGTCATTCAGTTGCCTTAAAATTAAAATTGCTGTGAAGTTACAATAACTAATAATAAGTACTTACATTGAGATGGCGAGTATTTGCAAACCGAAGAGACACAGAAAACGATAATTGAAACCTAACTATAATTTGTAATGTTGTTACGTTTTAAGATTATTTTCCTTACACAGATGAACATGGATAAGATATATATAATAATATATAATATAATAATAATATATAAGTATAAGAGACCGAAGAAGATAACAACAAAATAATAAAAAACTGGTAAAGAGATCTTGGGCTGAATTCCAGGAATAACAATTGTAATTGAGCTTCAAATTTGTTTTCTGAAAATGATTGGCTACCTAGTGCTGGAAATATTCACTTAGTGTTTTTGCACACACGGTAGAATGTAATTGTGTTTTGAATATAAATAAAAAAATTTCAACTCTCTAGCTCTTATATCTTCTGAGATCGACGCGTTCAAGCATACGGACAGACGGACAGAGCTAAATCGACTCAGCTCGTCGCCCTGAACAAGAATATATATACTTTATGGGGTCTGCCACGCCTCCTTCTGCCTGTTACATACATTTAACAAAACCATTATACCCTGATTTCCCATTGAAAATGGGTTTAGGGTATAAAAATACACTTGGGCTATAATTTTTATACCCTGAACCCATTGAAAATGGGAAATCAGGGTATAATGGTTTTGTTAAAAGTATGTAACAGGCAGAAGGAGGCGTGGCAGACTCCGCAAAGTATATATATTCTTGATCAGGGCGACGAGCTGAGTCGATTTGGCCCTGTCCGTCTGTCTGTCCGTCCGTCCGTCCGTATGTATGAACGCGTCGATCTCAGAAGATATAAGAGCTTGAGACTTGAAATTTTTTTCCTAGGTCCGTGTATATCACGCGCATATCAAGTTTTTCTTTATATATCGATAACTACTACCGATATTTTATTATCGATTAAAAACCTTATCGAAAGCTAGTTATTTAATTATATCTCCTACACCTTTAGAGCTAGAGCTTCCAAATTTTAAATGAAGACTTATATGTATTTCATATAATTTCGATTTTTATCAAAATGTACCCCCCATCCCTATATCCACCCCCTCACCATCACCTTTGTAAAAGGCGTATTTCAAGTACTAAAGGCGTATTTCAAGTACTAGAGAATTCTTATAATGTTGCCCACACTACAGCGCAGCACAAGCGCAGTCGCTGCTTACTGCGCAGTTAGCAGAGCGCGTTCTAATACGTGCGTGTGTATGTATGTGTGTCGAAAAGAAGTGCAGGCTGATTAGAATATCAGATTAGAGGGTTCAGGGTATCTCCTAGTCGAGCAGTCTCAACTAGAGTTTTCTTACTTGTTATTTTATTTTATTTTATTGTTATTATTATTTTAATTTTTTTCAATATGTATGGTGCTGTAAGCAAATCTTGATTTTTATAATCTAGACGTTTTTTGTTGATCTGTTAATCTAAAAATACATGTATATATCTAAAGTGGTATAAAAAGTCTACGTTTCCAAAATATATGTAAATATATTTACACATATTTTGCATATAACCAAAAACAAAATTATATATATATATATATATTTGCCAACAAGTTTATTTATAGACGATTCCATGTGAATCTTAATTAGTATATATATATCTATATATCTATTTTTAATATAATATCTATTTATCTTGCTCTGAACTATATTCTCAAAGTTATTTTGATATATATATATATATATATATATGTATATATATATATATATACAAAGAGTAAACAGATATATATATAAATTTGTATCTTAGCGTATTTTAACGTCGGTGCACAAAAATTATTTATCTGTTTACTCTTTGTACTTTTGCTCACAGATTACACTGACTGGGGCAAACGCAGAAGCTCGGGAGTTGTTTGGTTGGGTGCGTGAGTCGTTAGTGGGGTGGTGTTTTCATAGGATTACTTTACGCTAGTTGTGTGGGTGCCACCCTAGTGTGAGAAAGAGAATGACAACTGTAATGTTCTGTTTCAATGCAGTAAAGGCTCATGCTATTTTTCCTCTTGTTAGGTGGTGTTTGGCTCTAGGAGTTCTTGTTGCTGCTGCTGCTGCTGTTGTTGTAACTGAAGGATAATTTTAAGCCATAAATAAAATGGATTAAAACCCACTGATCCGCTCATCAAAAAAGATTTCACCCTTTGTAACACTAGAACATTATTAAAGCTTTTCTCCAAAATCAATATCATCAGAATCCTTCTGTAGCGGATTTGCGCAATTTTAAATTTATGTTGTTGCTTATACTTTCACATTAAGTCGTATGATGTTTTTGGTGAAGATGCCTTTTCACCAAGTGGATGCTACGATGCCCCGGTTTATTTATTTTTTTGTTTAGCCCTATTTATCGTTATATAGTGCATATTTAATTGTTCTTATTCAAAATAAAATTAAATCTATGCCACCAATTTGCAATTATATTGTTTAAATCCATGATTGGCTACAAATGTAAACAACAATTTTTTACAGTGTGGTCAAACAAAAAAAGTCAAACAATGGCCTGTATGCCAGTAGAAATTTGAAAATTTGCAGTTGGTTTTGCACTGTGTTTGACGTAGACACATTGCCTAAAATTGTAGTTTTATTTTACTGAGAAGGCTCCAGCAACACAATATACACAATCTACATAGCCGTGTTGCCCAGTCCCTCACAATTATGGAGTTGTTATTTTCAAATGTGTACTACTTGCTCACATTAGCAAAATTTTACAGTGTGTATGCTGGATACTTACTGATGGCTCTCATGTATGTAAATACATTCTTATTAATATATATATATATATATATATATATATATATATATATATATATATATATATGTATATATTTGTGTCTATATATGTATTCTGTACTTCACTCTCTCTTATACACACTCATACATAAGATGTAAACAGAATAATAGCTCATGACAATAGTTCAATGTGTGTGCTGGCAGCTTCTCTGCTTCTACTGCTGCTGCTGCTGCATTGCTCGTTGCAAGCAGATGTTATAATGGAAGGACACACATACAGTTGTATGTGTGTAAATTTGATACGCCCTGCTTTGAACATGAAGTGAGACTATCGTAACTTTCTACAACTGGTACTCTGATTTTGACTTGACAATCTCACGGTGTTGATTTGTGTCTTCTGCCACACCAACAGCTTGTTTAAGGTACTGAAACATTCTCTATGGTCTGAAATTTCGCAACTAAACTTTCATTATTTAAAGGAAATACAAGTACAAGACTAAAATGAGCAAACTGCTTTAAATACATATTCCATTGAATAAATATAAATCCGGTAAAAAAAAGTCTGACAATAACATTTTGGCAGCCAAATTCCTCTCATGAGATTATATGTAGAAATGGAATACCTTTAAGCAGATGACAGCACTTTCACGAATTGTAAATAAATTACCTATGTATATTTATAAGTAACAGTATTAATTTATATATGTATAATACAACGATACATACGTAATAAGTATTTGGAGTGCCAATGCATTAATATACATGCATATATTGTATGTATCGTATGTTGATAACAGAAAAGATTATTCATGCCTTTCACCAAAAGGTAAAACGAATGTTAAGTTACCAGTTGTTAACCGAAAGCCGTTCCGTAATTATACCCTAAATCCATCGAAACTTGTAAAATAAGATAAATTGCTTTTGTTAAATAAATTTCAGGCAAAAGGAGGCGTGGAAGACGCCGTAAAGTATATTGATCCTTCATTAAGGCGCCAACTGACCATGCCCATCTAACCGTCTGTCCCTCCAACCGTCCGTCTGACTGCATGTGTGAATGCGTTGATGTCAAGTGTATTGCACGCCCAGATCGAGTTTATATCACATATACAGGGCACATCCACCAGACACGCATTTCATCCCAACCCATTAACATATGCATTAACTTTATATATTTAATTACCGAAATCCTACCACACTTGCATAACTAATATTATTCACATTAGAGGTGGGCGCGGGCCGACTTTTTTGCACCCGGCCCGATCCGCCCACGGTCAAAAGTTCAAAATATCCGTACCCGAAAACATACAAAATTTTTATACCCGCATCCAACCCGCCCTAACACATACAAAAAATTTAATTCTCAAAAATTACAACAAATTTTTTTTTCTCAAAAATAACAACAATTTAATTCTTAACAAGTAAGAAAGCTCTAGTCGAGTGTGCTCGACTACGAGATCCCCTGAACCCTTCGAGCAATAGCTATTTCACACACACGCACACACGCATAAACACCCATAGGCTGCAGTATGCGCTTACTATGAAAACTTAATTGTTTAATAACTTTTTGTGGACATAAGAACTTCATAAAACTTTCAGATTATGATTATATCATAAATATGCATGTATTTGCCAAAGCACAAGTCTCTAGTATTTGAAATACGCATTTTACAAACATGTGGGTGAGGGGGTGAATATAGAGGTGAGGGGTAAATTTTAACAAAAACCGAAATTGCATAAATTGCATATAAGCATACGTTAAAAATATGGAGACTCTAGCAATAAAGGTGTAGAAGATAAATTTTTTTATAACTAGTTTTCGATAAGGTTTTTTATCGATAAAAATGATCGGGATGAGTTATCGATTTTTAATGATAAACTCGATATCCGCGCTGTAAATACGGACATAAAATGAATTGACGCCTCTAGCTCTTATATCTTCGGAAATCGACGCGTTCAAACATACGGACAGACGGACAGACGGACAGACAGACAGACGGACAGGGCCAAATCAACTCAGCTCGTCGCCCTGATCAAGAATATATATACTTTGTGGGGTCTGCCACGCCTCCTTCTGCCTGTTACATACATTTCAACAAAACCATAATACCCTGATTTCCCATTTTCAATGGGTTCAGGGTATAAAAAAGGGGCATATCAAGATTTGCACTTAACAGCCTTGTTCGCCTTTCATTTAACATTTTTCCAGAAGAGGAGAATACTCGCTCGCTTGTTGCACAGCTTACCGGAATACATAAAATATTTTTGCCACAATTTAAGGGCCAAAAATCTAAGATTGAAAAGTTTGAATTATAGCATGTGGTATAATATTTATCAATTTCTAAGTCAATTGCATTTTTGCCAGGTTCGTCAAGTTTTCTTTTTATACTCTTTCACGAAAGTGAATCAGTATATTGGTTTTGTGCAATGTCCGTCTTGCTGTCCGTCCGTCTGTCCGTATGAACGCAATCTATTTCGGCGCTATTGAAGCTAGAATCTTGAAATTTGGAACACATACTCGTGTATATCTCCAATTTATAAAGTGTTAAAATTTTCCCGATCCGCCCACTAGGGGCGTGGCAAATCGGAAAATGCATTTTCCGAAATACTAGAAATCATGTTAGTTAAAGAGCTAGAAAGCTGAAATTTGGAATGTAGGTCCGCGTCGAACACCCAAGATCACGAGCTATGGCAGATAAATCTCCGCCCATTTGGGGGCGTGGAAAATCGGATAAAACTGTATCTCCTAAAGTTGTATACCTAGAATGCTGAAATTTTGCACGTCAGCTAATGTTATGATTCTATAATGTCAAAAGACAATTTATTAGTCTACGCCCCTAATGGGCGTGGCAAATCGGACCTGAAGATATAGTGATTTCTTAAATTCTGCCATATTTTGGATACTAATGATGAAAGAGACCTCAAATTTTGTATATATACTCGGGCTGATCACCAAAGACCAAAAAGTTTCGTCGGATATATGTCCGCCCACAGGGGACGTGGAAAACCGCAAAAGTTGATATCTCCTAAAGTATAATAGCTAGAAGCTTCAAATTTAGATAGTTAAGTTACCAGTAACCTCCTCTATCGATGACCCGAACATAATTTTTACGCCTCTTTAGGGGCGTGGAATATCGAAAAGTACCCTGTAATTTTCACATTTCTTGAGGGCAAGTATTCAAACGTTGCAGTCTAAAAACTGACCAAAAATGAGGTGTCTACGCCCAGTAGGGGCGTGGCAAATCGGAAAAACCTGTATATTCTACAGGGATGCAAGCATAAACACGCATTGGCAGCAGTGTGGTCTTACTATGGAAATTTAATTGTTTAATAACTTTTCTTGTTGATGAACTATGCTCATGAAACTTTTAGGTCATTAATATAACATTGAAGTGCGTGTATATGCCAGAGTACAAGTATTCTAGTATTTGAAATACGCCTTTTACAAAGGTGAGGGTAAGGTTGGATATAGGGGTGGTGGTGGGTCGAAATTATATAAAATACATATAGGTCTACATTTAAAATTTGGAACGCTAGCTTTAAAGATATTGGATATATAATTAAATAGCTTATTTTCGATAAAGTTTTTGAATAATAAAAAATCGAAATAACGGGAAGAGTTATGGATTTTTGGAGATAAACTCGATATCCGCGCTATATATACGGACATTTGAAGAAAAATTTCAAGTTGCTAGCTTTTATATCTTCTGAAATCGACGTGTTCAAATATACGGACAGACGGACGGACAGACAGACAGACGGACAGGGCCAAATCGACTCAACTCGTCGCCCTGATAAAGAATATATATACTTTGTGAGTCTGCCGCGCCTCCTTCTGCCTGTTACATACATTACCGACCATTATACCCTGATTTCCCATTTTCAATGGGTTCACGGTATAAAAAAAATTATATTCTATATATTACTATTCGTATTGTGTTACTTACAATTTACATGAACATCAAAGCGTTTGCTCACTGAAGGTGGAACTCCATTCGATGCAATGCAAAGGTAGCCCCCCATATCCGTACGATGAACGTTAGTGAGAGTCAGTCGCTCGCCTTCCACTGATTTGTATGCTTGAATATTAAAAGAGTAGTTAAATTGTTTTATAATATCATCATCATCTTGCCGAAAAATATCACTTGTCGCAGTGAAAATACAGCTGGATACAATAATTTTTAAGGCTCAAATTATATAAGTTCATACATACAGTTGTGCTTCTTATATGTCAGTATAAGTCTATGCCAAATCATCAATTAATTTTCAGGAGTGTCTAATATCGACTTATTCTGATAACTGAATATCTAAGAAGCCGTTAAAATATTCAAATATGCACCTTGCTTGTCTCTACTCTCTGATCGAATTATAATATCCTTGCCGCCTTCCCGTCGCCATTGAACCATAGGCTCTGGTACACCTTACGACATTGAGTTAGAAGAAATCGTTTAATTACTTATACAGTGTAGTTTAACATTTTTTTATATTCATATCAAATATAATGATAATTTGCTGGTACCTGTGGCACTGCATAGTAAGGAAATGCTCCCTCCTTCCGTGCTAACACCTTCATTGATATTTTCATCAGGGTGGTTTAGGATGTCCGGTGGAACCACAACATCTAAATATCCCGACTGTAAAACATTTCAGACATTAATACAAACTTTATTAAATAGAATAAAAAATGTCATAGCATATAATAATAGCAAGTTATTTCGAAAATAGGTGTGATTCATAAGATCTTCAATTCTTTTGTCAAGAATTAAAATTTCACCTGTCTTCCAAAATTAGAAAATAAACAAGTAAGAAGGCTCCAGTCGAGACTGCTCGACTGGGAGATACCCTGAACCCTCCAAGCTGATATTCTAATCATTCTGCACTTCTTCTATGCACACATACATACACATGCACTTATAAGCACGCGCTCTGCTAACTGCGCAGTAAGCAGCGGCTACGCTTGGGCTGCGCTGCAATGTGGGCAATATTATGAGAATTTATTAGTTGAATAATTTCTCTTGTAGTAAGAGTATCTTTATGAAACTTTCAGAATGTGTTCATATAGTTAAAATGTGTGTACATTCCAAAGCACAAGTCTCTAGTACTTGAAATGCGTTTTTTACAAATTGGGGGCGAAGGGGGCGTGGTATCCAAAATCTGTAAATTACAAAATCTTTGTATCCATTAACTCTATATACAACGCAAATTTGAAGTCTCCAGGTCTAAAAGTGTTCAAATTAGGCTGAAAAAACAATGTCGATTTTTCGATTATTCTCGATAAAAAAGTTATCGGATGAGTTATCGAAAAAATAAAGCAAACTCGTACTGTCTATGATATACACGAGTATGCATGCCAAATTTCAGCTCTCTAGCTCTTATAACTTCTGAGATCCTTTTGCTCATACGGACGGACGGACGGACGGACGGACGGACAGACGGACAGGGCAATATCGACTCAGCTCGTCGTCCTGATCAAGAATATATATACTTTATGGGGTCTGCGATGATTCCTTCTGCCTGTTACATACTTTTCACAAAACCATTATACCCTGATTTCCCATTTTCAATGGGTTCAGGGTATAATAATTCTCACACAAACTAAGGTCAATTATAATTGATGGCCCTCGAAAAATGTATTGCCTGCTTGCAATTTTTATTTGTTTATATTTTTCTACTTTTAGAAACACATCCATAACCGCATATTTGTCGGAGTACCCGATTCTATTCCCTTCCATAACTATTCTCTTAGCTGTAAAATTATTTCGACCTTAAATCTTTAGAGCTAGAGTCTCCAAATAGAATCATATGATCTATATTGATAGAAGTACACATTTCCTTTACGATCACACTTCACTTAACTCTACAGCACTGCACTTCCCGACGGACCTCCACTTGGCTTGAGCGACACTGAAGAAATGCAGCAGCTGCTGTCAGTTAGAGGTCGTCGCAATCGAGCATTAAGTGACCAATTGAACCACTCTCTGCTCTTTTTATACCCTGAACCCATTAAAAATGGGAAATCAGGGTATAATGGTTTTGTGAAAGTATGTAACAGGCAGAAGGAATCATCGCAGACCCCATAAAGTATATATATTCTTGATCAGGACGACGAGCTGAGTCGATATAGCCCTGTCCGTCCGTATGAGCAAACGGATCTCAGAAGATATAAGAGCTAGAGAGCTGAGTAGGCATGCATACTCGTGTATACCATAGGCAGTACAAGTTTATCTTATTTTTTCGATAACTCATCCGATAACTTTTTTATCGAGAATAATCGAAAAATCGGCATTGTTTTTTCAGCCTAGTTTGAACACTTTTAAAACTGGAAACTTCAAATTTGCGTTGTATATAGAGGTAATGGACACAAAGATTTTGTAATTTACAGATTTTGGATACCATGCCCCCTACGCCCCCAATTTGTAAAAAACGCATTTCAAGTACTAGAGACTTGTGCTTTGGAATGTACACACATAAGCCTGCGCTCTGCTAACTGCGCAGTAAGCAGCGACTGCGCTTGGGCTGCGCTGCAGTGTGGGCAATATTATGAGAATTTATTTGTTGAATAATTTCTTTTGTAGACATACAATCTTTATGAAACTTTCAGAGCGTAATCATATGGTTAATATGTGTATACATTCCAAAGCAAAAGTCTCTAGTATTTGAAATTTTACAAATTGGGGAAGAAGGGGGCGTAGTATCCAGAATCTGTAAATTACAAAATCTTTGTATCGATTAACTTTATAGACAACGCAAAAAATTAGGCTAAAAAACAAACAAAATCAATTTTTCGATTATTCTCGATAAAAAGTTATCGGTTGATTTATCGAAAAAATAAAGCAAACTTGTACTGCGTATGGGCTATATCGACTCAGCTCGTCGCGCTGATCAAGAATATATATACTTTGTGGGGTCTGCCACGCCTCCTTCTGCCCGTTACATACTTTTTCACAAAACCATTATACCCGTATTTCCCATTTTCAATGGTTTCAGGGTATAATAAAGAGACAAATTTCAATAAATGAAAACTATTCATTGTGTTTCATGCTTTCTATCTATCTGTCCTCTCTACCTCTCTCTCTCTCTCTCTCTCTCTCTCTCTCTCTCTCTCTCTCTCTCTCTCTCATTCTTTCTCTATCTCTCTTTATATAATATAAAATACAAACTATCCTAACTTATTTTCAGCCTATGCTTCTGCAGTTCTTCATATACTATAAATCTCTGCAAGTAAGACTCCGACTAAGTTGCTGAGTGCAAAAATTTTGTTTGGATTGATTTAATTTTCTTTTTGTAAACACTAAGTTTAAAAGGCGGAGTCCACTTACTAATATACATATTTTGAATATAGTCCGAAACCTCTTGAACAATTTCATAGCAAATTTCTCCTAACAATTTCAAAATTTCCTGATTGCGCTCTTGAATAAGCAGCGATTTGCAATAAGCTCACGTTACAAAAATTATTTAACTAGATCTTTACGTTTTCATCCAGAGCTAATACATGTTACAAGCGCATTGAATAGATGAACAGCAGTAAAAATTGAAACAAAAATTACCTTTCACCTAGTATTTTTTATATAATATTGAATACAAATATTTTAATGTTAAATTAAAAATAGCTACTAAGTGACAATTTTTATTTATTTTTTTACTTATTTTGTTTTCTGGAAATTCAGCAATCTTTAAAAATAGAAATCGCGTTGAGAGATGTTATTGTTTCAGTTTTTCCAAATTAAATAAAGCAAAATATTACTTAACATTTTATTGCACTGTTTGGCCACAGGAACTCTATAAAGCTACGTGCCAAGGCTTTTGGAGCCCTGCTTACCTGTGCTTATGCCTTATTTCATAGCTTGCACATAAGCTTGGACTCAGACGCATATGGCGATAAGATTACTGACCCTGCCAGGCAGCTAAGCATTTGAAAATTGAATAGCTGACCACTAAGGTCAGGGGTAGAGCTGTGGTTGACTTACCAGACTTTTCATGGGATCTGTATTCACTTGACACATGTAGCTACCAGAATCATTTAGTTGCACGTGGGATATGTGAAGTTTCCAGGTGTTGTGCCCATTGTGTGTCACTGATAATCTTGGATTTAGAGATACCATATGTGTATGTATACCAAGTATTGCTTTTGAATCTGATTTAATCCAAGCCACCTGAAATAGCGAGAGCAGACCCAGGCACATCAGCATTAAGGTAAGTAGTGTAACTTTGCTTTTGCCAACTTCACCTCGCACACTGCTATGCTCTCCTCATAAACTTAACTACATTCAGCTGCAACTATGTATAAGAGAACATTTTCTACCCTTGTAGGCCCTAACATAAATTTATACTTAGGCATTCTTAAGATTTTTTGTAAGCGTATGTATGTGTAATGCACAATGTTGTATAGCTTACATATATTTATATGCATACATAAAATATTGTATAGCTTACATATATTTGTATACATACATATGTACAAAAGGCAATGCCGTCTGCTTAAAATTGACTTACTAAATTAGTGATAGTCTATCTACCACAAAATATATGATATATAATATACAATATTAATAATAGTAATAGTAAATAGAATTTTTTATCTAATTTTATGAATAAATTTCAGTGTTAAAATATTCGCACAATTTGAAGTTTATATTGAACACTTCACATTGGCTTTGCCATAATTTCTTTGATGTTTTATAGGAATTAATATGATTTATGTTTGTATTATAAATAACATACCCGATATTGTCCCAAGTTGTCTACAACACAGGTGAAAGATACGTCACGACCTTGTGGTACGGTAATATTTGTAAGTTGTGCCAAAAAAAGCGGTCCCACTTCATCAGGTTCGTTATGACCTGTGAATTCACAGAAAATATAAAAGGTAATAAAAGAAAATGGCCCTGAAATGTTTGTTATAAATATGTATATACATACATATGTGTATAAAAAATATCAAAACGCAACAGATTAATTAAGCAAATGTACAAAGCATCATATGGTTTCACTAACATTAATAAATTCTTACGAAGTCATAAAGTCCGTTTTTCTTGATTATTATAAATATTTATAAGTGAACGAATAATAATTTGTAACAAGTAAGAAAACTCAAGTCTGGGTTGCCGCCTGATTTAATTTTTCAAATTCGGCTATATTTTGGGCACTATTGATGCTAGAGGCCTAAAATTTGAATATACTCGGGTTGAGCACCTAAGACCAAAGAGCTATGGTGGATATGTCACCGCCCACAGGGGCATGGCAAACAGCAAAACTTTATACTCCAACAGTTTATAGCTTAAAATTTGGATAGTTAAGTTACTGATAACCTCCTCTTTCGATAACCCGACAATAATTGTTACACTTCTTTACAATAAAATGCCCTGTAATTTTTACTCTTTTTGAATGTAAGCGTGCAAAATTTACAGTTACGCTACTTATCAACTTGGCTAAATTGCTGCACTAAAAGAGTATATACATATTGAGGGTTTGGCAAATTAGAAAATGGAATGTGAATGAGTTTTCTGCAGTTGGTAACGCTCGTCTGCAACGTTCTTACTTGTTGATTTTTGGTAGTTATCGCGAATCCAAATTTCAGCTTTCTAGCTCTTCACCTAATATGATTTCTGGCATATCGGAAAATGCATTTTCTATGTATTCTAATTTTCTAGCTTCAATAGCGCAGACATTCGTTCGTTTATTTTGACACACAGACAAACCCAATATACTCATTTTACTTTCGTGAATGAGTATTAAAATATAAATCTATTTATTCTCAAAAATAATGAATTTTCGTTCACGTGTGTTATATTAAATCCTACCTTGAATACTTGCTATTGAATGACTTCCTTTTGTGCGTAATATTCCGGTGAGTAACAAAAGTATTACGGAGGCTAAAGTCCTCACGCACAATATAGTCTGAGTCATTGGGGCAGTCTTCATTTAAATATCAGGCTTCTGATCGTCAAAGGATCTTCAGGTACTTCCAAAACTTACTAAGTTATAAAATATGAATAATAATCTCGCTATTCGAGCTGATCCCTAGCTGTTGATATTCGCCTAATTATTCCATAATATAATTATTGTATTGTGTTTTATTGTCCCTGTTAACTTATGGTGCATCATTTCTGAAAAGAGAAAGAACCTTTTATTTAATTCTGTGAAATATTTTTTTTTTTCATTAAGACAGTTTATGTTATTGAAGAAAATACTTTAAAAACTATTTTTGATTATTAAACTATAAAATATTCAGTCATATCAATCGAAAATAAGTTTAAATACTTGTGTTACATTAGATTGATATTTTTTCTCACATTATTTAAATAAATAAAATAAGAAACCGTTTTCCTAATCAATGATTAGTAATAAACAAGTAGGAAGGCTCCAGTCGAGACTGATCGACTGGGAGATACCCTGAACCTTCCAAGCTGATACTCTATTCTCATTCTGCACTTCGTTTATGCACACATACATACACACGCATCCACACGCACGTATATCACGCGCTCTGCTGACTGCGCAGTTAGCAGCGACTGCGCTTGGGCTGCGCTGCAGTGTGGGCAATATTATTAGAATTTATTTGTTGAATAATTTCTTTTGTAGACATACAATCTTAATGAAACTTTAAAAACGTAATCATATGGTTAATATGTGTGTACATTCTAAAACACAAGTCTATAGTACTTGAAAAATTCGGGGCGAAGGGGGCGTGGTATCTAAAATCTGTAAATTACAAAATCTTTGTATCCATTAACTTTATATACAACACAAATTTGAAGTCTACAGGTCTAAAAATGTTCAAATTAGGCTGAAAAAACAATGCCGATTTTTCGATTATTCTCGATAAAAAAGTTATCGGATGATTTATCAAAAAATATGATAAACTTGCACTGCCTATGGTATACACGAGTATGCGTGCCAGCTTCAGTATTTCAGAATTTCAGCTCTCTAACTCTTATATCTTCTGAGATTCTTTTGCTCATACGGACGGACTGACAGACGGACAGGGCTATATCGACTCAGCTCGTCGTCCTGATCAAGAATATATATACTTTATGGGGTCTTCGATGATTCCTTCTGCCTGTTACATACTTTTCACAAAACCATTATACCCTGATTTCCCATTTTCAATGGGTTCAGGGTATAAAAATTGAGTAGAAATCCTAACTTTTAAATGATTAACAATAGTTAACAATAATAATAATAACAGCGAACGAGTTAAAAAACCTATGAGTTCTCTGTAGTCGCATATCAATTCTGTCTGTTACATTTGTATATTTTCACAAAAACATGATATGCAGCTCTCCCAGATTTTCAATAAATTCAAAGGTCAACTGTGTTCGAGAAAATTCTGATGAATATTAATTCAAAAATTTTGAATCTATGGGAACATCAAGTATATATTTTAAAATATCGCTTTTTTTTTTTATAAAAAATAAAAAATGTTAATAATTTAACAATTAAAAATAATTTAGGTGACCTTTTATAAGTACTGTTTATTATATTGTTTCTAAACATTAAATATATTATGTCCTTTTGATATACATTTCCATTTATCTCTTAGCATTCCAGCATAATAAATATTTATTCAAGAGCTTCGCCTAGTATCCCTCGTATATTTACAAGTTTTGCACTGTTAATGCAATAATTATCTTTATTTGTAAAGATATTTCCTCAACCGAAAGGCATAAAATGAAAGGGCGAAAGGCAACCAAAGTTAAAACCAAATTCCTTTTGTGGAATGCGTCGCGCAATTCACTTTGCCAAGAGGAATTTCTTTACCAAAATTTTAAGTTGTGTACAAAAATGTGTAAAGTGGTGGAATAATATATCTAATTCAAGAAGGGTGAATTCTGCCCATAAATGAACAATACAATTAAAGAATGTACCATTTAAATAGACTAGATTATAAATATTTTACTTTTGTTTCTGCAGATATTTGCACTCATATGTATATTTTATCTTTTGCTTTTATGTGTAAAATAATGTTACCAAATTTTTCAAAGATATATTGTAAGAAGTGAGGCCAAACAACTTTGAGTGATTAACTTTTTAATTTTTATAAGCTGTCTCATTAATTAATTAACTAACAACTAAAGAAAGAGAATTTTTTAAAATATATCGAATTGAGTAAATCCGTCATTATGTTTTTAATATAAAGGCTATTGTTACTAATTAGCGCACGCACGGGATAGCAGCGCTGAGAAACGCAAAGAATTTGATTGGATATATCCGCCATATCTTTTTGATCTTCGTACATTCCAAATCCAAATTCATTATCTAGTTTTTCAGCTAATATGATTTCTGACATATCGGAAATTGCATTTTTCAATTTGTCACCGCCCTAGGGGCCGAATCAAGACAATTTTTATACTTTATATTTCTAGCCCATTGATAGACGTAAATGGCGTATTTATAACGTGTCATTTTAAAATTTCGGATCTGAGCCCGCTTGTTTCATCGTAATAGTCATTCATCAACAATTAATCGTTGAGTTGGTGGATGCTTTCAAATAAGGAAAAATGTTCAGTCGGTATTTTTAATTCGCAACGATTTCAATCAAAGGATTTTACAAATGACCAACCCTTCTGCTTGTCGGCTGCTTTTTGGCTTCAGCGAAGCAATGCGATTGCATAAAATGCTTTAACCACATTTTATGTTTGCTTTTGCACACTTGGACCGAACATCAGCCGTCGACCACAGGAAAACCCAACTCTGTTACTTTAGTGACATCATGGCCATCACCATAAAGCGCCTGCTGATCCATTTATTCATATTCAGCTACAGCTGAAATCACATGCAGCTCTACTGTGCCTTGTTAAATTTAAACGGAATGCCCAAAAAATTGTCTCTCTGTCCGTAGCAATGGGTCGGCTTCGAATGCGCAACGATGAGTCAATGCTTACACTTATGTATGCATTTACATACTTACATACTAGTTATACATAGTGCAATCGGATGAGCATTACGCATGTGGATTTGCATGACCGGATTGCGGGCTCGGCCACTAAGAGATACGTATACGTTGCGCCGGATACGGATGTGGAATTTCGAAATTGTGTACTGTTGGGAAATTCGAAATTCCATTCGCCACAATTTTTAATCAGAAGTAACTGGTGTGGTCGAAAATTTCCGACGGCCTAAAATAAAAATTCAAATAAAAAGATTTGCGTCTGAAATCTCATTAAAAACATTTCCGTTTGTGAAAACAAACAAATAAAAACAAGCAGACGAGCAAGTAAACGCACAGAGACATGGACATATCCATCCACACGCATGGACAACGCAAGGAGCTTGCGTCCAGGCGTAATCCCTACAGTTGTAGCAACGGCACTACCAATCGCCGCAGATGCTCTGCGCCTTCTTCTCTCTGTCCCTATCTGTCTGTTCGTTGCTCCTTTTGCTCGCAGTGCACTCACTGCCTTGAACTTGTCAGCTCGTTCGTCCAACTGATGCCTTGGTGGGCTGGCCAGTAGACCAGCTTGCGTAGTGTTCCTGTTTGTCCATTTGATGACGAAGAGCTACCATCAATTTGCAACACTCCCATTGCCGCTGCCACCGCTTAACTCCCACACAGCAGCAGCAAAGCGGCAGTCGGGGTCCGTTGCCCACTCCTCAGCTTGAGTGTAAACACATAATCCATTTAAATTGTTTGTGGTTTTTCTTATTGTTTGTTTCCCTTCTTGTTTCCATTGTAGCTGCCGTTTTCGCTGCTGTCGTGTCATTGCTGCCCAAGCTATGCGAAGGCAAATCAGGTTCATGTTTGAGGCCTACATATTCCACTGCTTTGCCTCCAGATATAGAGAAAAACATTACTCTCCATCTATTTTGTTAATTTTTGCAGATTTTTCAGTGCTTTCAGTATTCTCGAAAACAGCAAAAGCAGTACTAAATCGGACATAACTAAATATGTTTCACAATTTTATCATTAGATATCAAACAAATTAATATGCGGGACTATTTTAAAGACAGATACGGAGACATAAAAAAATATATTGTTTTGGGATAAAGTTAGAAAGTTTAATTTTTCAATATGTACTCGGGTAAGACGACGGTTTTGTTAGATGTTGTAACAGGTAGAAGTATGCACGAAGCTATAATAGTTACAGATTTAAAGTCTTCAATTTTTGTTTCACAGAAATTATAAATATTGCTTCAACATTGTCGAATTAAAGTCTTTTCGAAATCAATCATTAAATTTGTACTCCTACTTCTTGAGCGCTAGGTCGCCCAATTTGGCATATCAGATACAGATTTGATTTACCGCCTTCAAACATTTATTTCAAACTTTTAAAATCGCCTTTGAAGGACACCTGTTAATATAGTACTAATATAACGCTTTTTCTCTGCATATTCGAGACCATTCTACAAATAACAATTGTGACAATTGCGATTGTATTTAAATTTTCAGCGTAATATGAGTTTAGATTACATGTGATAAATGAAGGAGTTCTAAGTTGCAAATGATTGCTCAAGCATTCTGCACTTCTTTTATCCACACATGCATACACACCATCCACACGCGCGTATATCACGCGCTCTGCTAACTGCGCAGTAAGCAGCGACTACGCTTGGGCTGCGCTGCAGTGTGGGCAATATTATGAGAATTTATTAGTTGAATAATTTCTCTTGTAGTATGACTATCTTTATGAAACTTTCAGATGGTTAAAATGTGTGTACATTCCAAAGCACAAGTCTCTAGTACTTGAAATTACAAATTGTGGGAGAAAAAAAAAAAAAAATTTCGGCTCTCTAGCTCTTATATTTTCTGAGATCGGTTTGCTCATACGGACGGACGGACAGACGGACAGGGCTATGTCGACTCAGCTCGTCGCCCTGATCAAGAATATATATGACATGTAAATTCCTCGTCTTTATTTCTTACATGAATGCTGTGTATTTTCTTATAAAAAGTGTATCGTATGTAGTCGATAAGTACATAGGTGTCAAAAGTACCTGGAGGGGCAAGTGACAAGTCGGGCAGAGACGAAGTACTCAGCGGTACGCTAAGTACCGCCAACCAGTAGGAGAACAATTCCTGTTAACGCAATCTGGCATTAAAAATATATTTAGATATCTTTTTATTTACCATTTATTAAAATATTTTGGAGCTCGAAGATATATTGAAAATATTTGCAAGGACATGTCTAGCATTTTTATACTCATTTCATTGATAATGGCGTACTATCTTAGGCGAATATTTAAAGTTCAGAAATCTTTCCGTCTTCTACTTTGCTACTAAAACTTCAAGTAAAGAATTAAATTTTTGTAGAGAATATCTATATTGAACTTTCAGAGCGTGGTAATAATTAAGTTTATGTATTTTCCAAATTATGGTTATGTAGTGTAAATATTTCTTATTTTTTTTAAATTTATTTATTTTAATTACAACAAAAATCGAAATTATATAAAATACATATAAGTGTATATTAAAAATTTTGAAGCTCTAGTTCTAAAGGTGTAGGAAATATAATTAAATAACTAGCTTCCGATAAGGTTTTTGATCGATAATAAAATATCGGGAGTAGTTATCGATATAAAAAGAAAAACTTGATATGCGCGTGATATACACGGACCTAGGAAAAAAGTCAAGTCTCTAGCTCTTATATCTTCTGAGATCGACGCGTTCATACATACGGACGGACGGACGGACGGACGGACAGACAGACGGACAGGGCCAAATCGACTCAGCTCGTCGCCCTGATCAAGAATATATATACTTTGCGGAGTCTGCCACGCCTCCTTCTGCCTGTTACATACTTTTAACAAAACCATTATACCCTGATTTCCCATTTTCAATGTGTTCAGGGTATAACAAGTAAGAACGTTGCAGTCGAGCGTTGCCGACTAACACTGAAGAAAATGCAGTTTTTCTCGCTTTGCCACGCTCCTACTGGGCGTAGACATATCATTTTTGTCCAGTTCTTAAAACAAGCTAACGGTACCCTAACTGCAAAATTTAAATGCTTTCGCTCCAAAAATGTAAAAATTACACGCCCCTAAAGAGGCGTAAAAATTATTTTCGGGTTAACTCAACTATCTAAATTTTAAGCTTTTAGCTAATATATTTTAGATGATATAATCTTTTGCGGCTTGCCCCGCCACCAATGGGCGTAGATATATCCGCCATAGCTCGTGATCTTGGGTGGTCGATGCAAATCTACATGCCAAATTTCAGGCTTCTAGCTCTACAACTAATATGATTTCTGGTATATCGGAAAGTTCATTTTCCGATTTGCCATGCCCCTAGTGGGCGGATCGGACAAATTTTAACACTTTATAGATCGGAGATATACACGAGTATGTGTTCCAAATTTCAAGTCTCTAGCTTCAATAGCTTCAAGGCGGACCATGCACAAAAACCTATATACTAATTCACTTTCGTGAATGAGAATAATAATTCACTTTCGTGAATGAGTATAATTACAACAACTTTGTATTCATTATAAAGACCTACGCAGTAAATCAGAAATCTTTAGCTCTAACAGTATTCAATTTACGAAGTAAAATGATCGATTATAAGGATAAGTCATCAAATAAAACATAGTAAATTTCTACACACATGTAAGATTTTTAAGGTTCTAGCTTTTGTTGCAAAATCTACAATTCACCAGAGCTCCGAGATAATTTCCAGCATAATTGTGGTTGAAGCGATATTTCGTTTGAACCTTAAATTTACCCTTGCTGTCTTAATTTGGCATGATAATCTTATGGGTGATGGAAAATCAGCTGTTTATCTTTCTACTCAGATACAATTTGAAAGAAGTTTAGTTATATAAGAAAATATACTTAAAATTGAAAGCTAAAAAGATACATGAAATTCCACTGCTTCTCCTAAACACAAGAGCTAATATACACAATTTATGTGCCAATAGAAACAGTAGACCAGTTAACAGTGGTTATTCGCAAAATAAAAGGGATGTGACTGAAATAGTTGTCCTGCACAAACTTTTGCACAACACCAAGAACAAAGAGATGGAAAGCCAAGATATTAGGGGCCGGAGACTATAAGCTCAGGTTGGACTCCAAGAGGGAAATAATAATAATATTATTATTAATAATAAACTATAGCAGAAACGAGTGCCATGCAAAATATACATGTTACATATTCATATAAATATGATAATATATGGTTTCGTTTAACAACTCATTTGCCCATATATATACAAATGTATATATAATATATATGTAGTTATATGAGAGTCTATACAAGTTTAGACTCCTTTCAGAATGAGTCCTTAAGCTAGTTTGCTTTTCATAAACTGAGTCCGTTTCCGTGCCCTGTCCTTTGCCTATGCATTTGCCTTTGCCTGTGCCCAATTGAGTTGTGGAGCTCACCGTGTCTGTTGACTTTGTTCCCTATCAACAAGTCGCCACTTAATTCAATTACATTAGATACGACGAGCAAATAAAAGGATGGATGGCATCCCATACCAGCCATGCAGACTGAGGCGCGCGGTGGGGTCTACGGGGCATGCAAGTTGCGATAGGCCAAGCATAGAATCTGCGGTTAAATGAGAGCTGAGCACTGCTGCGGCATTTACTGCGTGAATATAAAACGTGAGGTTGTCTTAATAGCCGCGGGAACTTTAATTTAGATTTTTGCCACGAATTAAATATCTCTCGATGTGCTTTTGCGGTCTCATATATTTTCCTTTTCAGCAATAGCAATAAAGACTCAAACAAACTAAAAGCCTTAATAAAGGTCAATCGCTAAATGGGGCTCTTAAATGTTGAGAATCGCCTAGAGCCAATTAATTCCATCAGCGGCAGCTGGAAGTTTCATATATTTATTTATGCAGCTGACCAATTTCACAGTTTTGTAAATCAATATTTGATAAATATGTATTTATTATGTATAAACATAATAAGGAATAAGATGTAAATGACTCCTTAGGCATCAGTCAAAGTCAAAGGACTTTGTTCTGTTTTATTAAATTATTCATTAGTTTAGTGTAGTTCATTTAGATTATGTGAAGCTTCAAATTAAGTAAAGCATTTATAGCAATGCACCTTCAAATTTATTTAATTATTTTGTATAGTATTATAGGACTATAGTATAGAATGCAAAGTTTCTTGAATCAGATAATATTATATATTTAAAAAATATGGTATATTTATGTTTATATTTTCTATTACATTTTTTGACAAAATATCAGTTTATCTTTGATTATCTTCCAGTTGAAACAGATTTTGGATCTCTGACCTGGCTCTACCTTGTTCAGCTGATTCACTTACCAAAAGTAACTAAGAAAATTATGAAATAAGTTAAAAATAATGAGAACACAATAAAAATAAAAATAAAACATTACAGAAATTAATTTGCTTTATATTTTTATAGTCAATCCATAATCCATAAGCCTTTGAGATTGTTGTATTGAATAAAATTATATACAACATTGAATGTTTAAATTGAAAATAAAAGAAGAATGTATTTCACAAAAAAATAAAAAAATAAACAAGTAAGAAAGCTCTAGTCGAGACTGCTCGACTACGAGATCCCCTGAACCCTTCGAGCAATAGCTATTTCAATCATTTTTCGCGTCATTCTGCTTACACAAGACACACACACAAACACACACACACACATTCACACACACATACACGCACACAAGCACCCACGCCTAAACACGCATGGGCTGCAGTGTGCGCTTACTATGAGAACTTAATTGTTAAAAAAAAAAAATGGGTTCAGGGTATAAAAATGCCCAAAGAAATGTACATTGAAATCATTGGTATTATTGCAATTGAATTTATAAAAAGTTGAGTGATTTTCCACCGTGTATGCAAATTCAAAAGTTTAAACAGAGCAATTTGAGAGTTTCAAGCTACTTAGAATAATTTTTTCTATTGGTTTCATTATTTTGCATTTATTGTTTTCATCAAATAAGCATTTCCCTAAAATTCATATCATTATATTAAATATACCCTGAACCCATTTTCAATGGGAAATCAGGGTATAATGGTTTTGTTGAAATGTATGTAACAGGCAAAAGGAGGCGTGGCAGACCCCACAAAGTATATATATTCTTGATCAGGACGACGAGTTGAGTTGATTTAGCCCTGTCCGTCTGTCTGTCTGTCCGTCTGTCCGTCTGTCAGTATCGTCAATTTCAGAAGATACAAGAGCTAGAGACCTCAATTTTTTTGTAAAATGTCCGTGTATACCACGCAGTAATTGAGTTTTGCTTCAAAAATCGATAACTTGCACCGTTATTTTGTTATCGATTAAAAACATTATCGAAAACCCGTAATAAAATTATATCTGCTACATCTTTAAGGCTAGAGTCGCCAAATTTTAAATGTAGATTCATATGTACTTTATAGAATTTCGATTTTTGTCAAAACCCCCTCACTCACATATTTGTAAAAGGCCCATTTCAAATACTATGCTTTGGCAAATGCATACATATCCATGTTATAATCATAATCTGAAAGTTATATGAAGATAGTCCACCCACAATAAAAGGTATTAAGCAATTAATTTCCCATACCAAGCCACCATTGCAGCCAATGTGTGTGTGTGTGTGTGTGTGTGCATGTGCGAATAATTATTGAAATATCGGTTGCTCGAAGGGTTCTAGGGATCTCGTAGTCGGGCAGTTTCGACTAGAGCTTTCTTATTTGTTTTTATAAACAAATATATAAATATATATAACGACGATTGAACTACTCCCATAGAACATTTCTCTTGAACAGAAAAAATATCACTGCAATTCACAGATACAATTATATTCAAGTTGCAAAAATTATAATATGAATATTAGTAAGGGTTTTCGAGATTTAAAGGGCAACTCCCTTGAGTTTGCAAGAGGCAAGATGCTAATCACACGACCGATATCTAAAATTATGCTCAAATACTGCCTTCTAAACTACATCTACAGCTACATCTATATATTAAAAGAATCTATATTGTATATTAAGAATTCGTTTACAATGCGGCTTAGAAAAGAAATTCGTGTATGCGTTACTTGACTTAATTAAAGTTCAAATTTATATTTTTGTTTTAATTTTGAAAGAGATCATTTTATTAATTTGCTTACGTTTTAGGCATGAACTGATATTAGTTTCGCTTACAATGTGGCGCTTCCTTTATTTTTTTAAAATCTATTAGATTTTGTTTTTATTTCTATCATGTGATAAACAAACGATGTTGTAGTAGACGTATCGCGAAGCCTCTTAGAGTTTTAGATTAATTTAACTGAGTAATGCAATATTAATTATCTGTGCACAAATGATCGGTAATTTATGAAAATAAAATTACATTTTTATTGAGAAATAACAAACTGGAAATCTTGATGTATATGCATAATAAGAAAAATATAAATATCGATGCGACTTCTCTTAAACTTTTTCAGCTCGGAGTTCACAATTCAGGATAAAATTGGTTTAAATATATGTATATAAACGTTGCAAAGCCAATTATAAACGTAACGACGGGAATGCACGTTTTGGAACTGTGAGCTTCGAGTTCGCTGTCGCTTACAATTTGTGCTCAATGTAACTTCTACACGACCGACGCGCGCCAAGCTCTGATTGAAACTGAGCAAATGCGACTAGTGATAAGCTAAGCGTACCGTGTAATGGACAAATGCTGCACTTCGTATTAGCTCGTTTGCGACCCGAAGTAGACAATCACCCCTTCGATGTGCGGGGAGAGCGTATGCAGGACACCCATTGGCGGCTATATAGCAGGGGTTGGAGTGTTGGAGAGAGAGAGAAAGCGAGAGAGATGAATCCATTATAATGAGAGAGTGACTGGAGAAATAAAAACAGATTCCACCACGTGTCGATGTGGATTTTATTTCCTGTTCTTTGATTCATGTAACTAATTGTTTTACCCTTTTGTCATAGAATATGAGTAAATGGTCTAACTCTTGGCTTTTATACCTTGATACCTTTATATACCTTTATACTCATTGTTTTGTTTAATTTTTTGTTTAATTTTTAAGCCAAGTCTTTCAGCCTATATTTCCGTTATTTTTTGGCTAATTAGTAAAATTAATACCTTACAAAACACTTATATTTTTGTTACCTGAAATACATATTGTCTATCTATAGATGGGTAGCCAAAATCATTATATGTCTATCTTGAGGATTGACAAAATTAGAGGCAGTGCAGAATTGGTCTTGTCCCAGTAGTGTGCTTTGTTGAATAAATCAGTTTTGCTTGAAAATATTTATTATTATACAGTCTATAGAGGCCTATATTATATTTATTTTGTGTTTATATTAATAATGAATACCCCAAACATGAAGCCTCTAGACGGTAATTCTCAATGGATATTTTCATGGTTATGGTGACTCAAAGTTGAAAGTTCTATTCTGACTTTTGCTTCACAGACTTGATATTCAATTGTGATAATGCGGGTTTTATTATATTAAAAACATGTTTTTATACCCTGAACCCATTGAAAATGGGAAATCAGGGTATAATGGTTTTGTTAAAAGTATGTAACAGGCAGAAGGAGGCGTGGCAGACCCCACAAAGTATATATATTCTTGATCAGGGCGACGAGCTAAGTCGATTTGGCCCTGTCCGTCTGTCTGTCCGTCCGTCCGTCCGTCCGTCCGTCCGTATGTATGAACGCGTCGATTTCAGAAGATATAAGAGCTAGAGACTTGAAATTTTTTTTCCTAGGTCCGTGTATATCACGCGCATATCAAGTTTTTCTTTAAATATCGATAACTACTCCCGATATTTTATTATCGATCAAAAACCTTATCGAATGCTAGTTATTTAATTATATCTCCTACACCTTTAGAGCTAGAGCTTCCAAATTTTAAATGTAGACTTATATATATTTTATATATTTTCGATTTTTGTTGTAATTTTCCCCCCACTCTTATATCCACCCCCTCACCCTCACCTTTGTAAAAGACGTATTTCATGTACTAGAGACTTGTGCTTTGGAATGTACATACATTTGAACATTATGATTATGTTCTGAAAGTTTCATTAAGAATGTACGTCTAGAAATTAAATTATTCAACAAATAAATTCTTAAATTGTTGCCCACACTACAGCGCAGCCCATGCGCAGTCGCTGCTTACTGCGCAGTTAGCAGAGCGCGCTCTAATACGTGCGTGTGTATGTATGTGTGACGAAAAGAAGTGCAGAGTGACTATCAGATTAGAGGGTTTAGGGTATCTCCTAGTCGAGCAGTCTCGACTAGAGTCCTCTTACTTGTTTTATACTTCAATATGTGAATATATATATATATATATATATATATATATATACATATATATAATTCTGCATGTATAAATGCAACTGAGTGTGTTTTCTGGATTTATGCTAATTATGGTATATATTCAATGTAACAGATTAATCGGTGTTCCAAGTCTGACACCCCACATAGCTTTTATATGTGTTTCTTCTAATCATTCGAAGATACCTGGAATTAGAAACCTAGACTGACTTTGCTACTATTCTACCTACGTTGTGTCAGCTTTTACGACCAGACTTGAATGAAAAGCATTCTAACATTAATAAAATTTCATTGTTTACCGCAAAAATTAGAGTCAAAGCAAAAATGGAACATATTAGAAATAATGCAAACAACCTAACAAATGGAGTCAAGTAAATGCATTGAACATACATACTTGGTTTACATTTCCCAAATTCTTTTTAAAACATAGCCCCGCCATTATTTTATTTTCAAGGTCCTTTGGTTTATTTATCACCACAAAAGCAACGAATTTTCCCCAGCTTCCAACGCAAAAGTATATACATACTAATATACATTTTTATTTGTACGCTCACAGGTTGTGTGGTTAGATTACCTGGCGATTGTGTATCTAACATATTAGCAATGGAATGTATGTGATGTTCTCGGCATTTTCTGATGGTTATAATTTAAACCTTTCATATACGCTACACATAACAATAAGGCTCCAGTCGAGACTGCTCGACTGGGAGATACCCTGAACCCTCCAAGCTGATATTCTATTCTCATTCTGCACTTCTTTTATGAATACATGAATACACATCCACGTATGATCACGCGCTCTGCTGACTGCGCAGTTAGCAGCGACTGCGTTTGGGCTGCGCTGCAGTGTGGGTAATATTATGAGAATTTATTTGTTGAATAATTTCTTTTGTAGACATACAATCTTAATGAAACTTTCAAAACATAATCATATGATTAATAATTGAAATAAGTTTTTTACAAATTGTGGGCGAAGGGGGCGTGTTATCCAAAATATAAAATACAATATCTTTGTTTCCATTAACTTTATATATAACGCAAATTTGAAGTCTACAGGTCTAAAAGTTTTCAAATTAGGCTGAAAAAACAAAATCGATTTTTCGATTATTCTCGATAAAAAAGATATCGGATAAGTTATCGAACAAATAAGATAAACTTGTACTGCTTTCTAGCTCTTATATCTTCTGAAATCGACGCGTTCATACATACGGACGGACGGACGGACGGACGGACGGACGGACAGACAGACGGACAGGGCCAAATCGACTTAGATTGTCGCCCTGATCAAAAATATATATACTTTGCGGAGTCTGCCACGCCTCCTTCTGCCTGTTACATACTTTTCACAAAACCATTATACCCTGATTTCCCATTTTCAATGGGTACAGGATATAAAAAGTTGCTCAGAGCAAAGGAATTTAAAATGTGCACATATTAATAGCAATTCCAATGAGTATAATCTTATTCACAAGTGTCTTTAAATACTCCTATTTCAGATTTAATATATTAATATAATGGTTAGGTATATTATTTTTCAAAAGTCCGAACTATTTCACTAGTACCACTAGTATTCAAAGTTTACCCAGTATTATAATTTTTGTATCCATATGTGTGTTTGAGCTCATCGAACTCGGAGATACGTACAAACAGGCATGCCATATCGGGGGTGCCAAATCAGAAGTCATAACACATGTCACTGTGAAATAGTTCGCCCGTCTGTTTCATAAAGTGTTGTAATTATCGAGTAGGAATATGTACTTGCGTAGTCAATCCAAGATCGAATTATTCTATTCTATTTCACTCGTCATCCTGTTTATTTCACTCTTTTTTATAACTACAGATTTTTTTTTTTTTTTTTTTTTTTGTTGTGAATGAAATTTTACAATGATTTAAGAGTTTCGACTAAGAACTAGTCCTTATCTAGTAAGATATTTATTTACAGATATTACAAACAATGGCATATCCGATGACATAATTATTTAAGTAAAAAATAACAAGTAAGAACGTTGCAGTCGGGCGTTACCGACTGCGGAATACTCATTCACATCCCATCAACAATTTAGTAGTTAAGTTTCGCTCTAATACTGTAGAATATACAGGTTTTTCCGATTTGCCACGCCCCAACTGGGCGTAGACACCTCATTTTTGGTCAGTTTTTAGAACGTGATAACGGTACCCTAATTGCAAAGTTTGAATACTTACCCTCAAAAAATGTGAAAATTACAGGGTATTTTTCGTTTTGCCACGCTGCTAAAGATGCGAAAAAATTATTTTTGGGTCATCGATGGAGGAGGTTACTGGTAACTTAACTATCTAAATTTGAAGCTTCTAGCTATTATACTTTAGGAGATATCAATTTTTGCGGTTTGCCACGCCCCCTGTGGGCGGACATATATCCGACGAAACTTTTTGGTCTTGGGTGATCAGCCCGAGTACATATACAAAATTTGAGGTGTCTTTCATCAATAGTGTCCAAAATATAGCAGAATTTAAGAAATCACTATATCTTCAGGTCCGATTTGCCACGCCCCTAATGGGCGTAGACTAATAAATTGTCTTTTGACATTATAGAATCATAACATTAGCTGACGTGCAAAATTTCAGCATTCTAGGTTTACAACTTTAGGAGATACAGTTTTATCCGATTTGCCACGCTCCCAAATGGGCGGAGATATATCCGCCATAGCTCGTGATCTAGGGTGGTCGACGCGGACCTACATACCAAATTTCAGCTTTCTAGCTCTCAACTAACATGATTTCTGGCATATCGGAAAATGTATTTTCCGATTCGCCTCGCCCCTAGTGGGCGGATCGGGAAAATTTTAACGCTTTATAAATCGGAGATATACACGACTAAGTGTTCCAAATTTTAAGTCTCTAGCTTCAATATGAAATGATGCCACGGAAGATTTAAGATGAGTTTCAGGACTTTACTTTACTGGTTTATGTGATATTTGGCTATATCTGACCAGACCGGTGCACCGTAAAAAGTTGCTGCTTGACCTAAAAAAAAAGATTTTGTTTTCTATATTGAGTTTCGAGTTTTTATTTATAAACGTATATAACGCACGGAATATATGTTTGAGTTTTTGTTTGTATTGGTTAAATGGTCCTTGAAAGTAAGTCGTTTGTCCAGTGTAACACCCAAGTACCTGACATTCGATTAGATCTAATTTATGTAGAGGACAAACATGAACGAAACAACCCACAGATCTTCTACGGTTTCAGAGCTAGACCCCTTAATTAACATAGATTTAAAGCCTATACGTAAAATCCGCAGATAGGTTACTTTTCACTCTTATTAACGATGGGCCAAAATCATATACAG